TTGCGGGATGACCTTACAGTTAACCGGGGAGCTGCGAGGTGGCATTGAACCTCCAAAGATTTACGCATTTGTCTTCTCATTTTTCAGGCTGAAGCCCCCATGCAGGAATACATAAAACTTCACAGAACTCAGTCTAGGGAAAGTTACAATGTCTGAAAGGAAATATTTGATTCGATCTAATGGACATTCTAGTAGATATTTATAGACTTTGTGCAGAAACTTTTCGCTGACCATTTTTATCTCCTGCTACTGAGGAGCTGCTTTGTTTTAAGTATGAGATCTGGTTCAGATCTAAAATAGTCAGTTTGTTGTTAGGCAATGCATTTCTTCAAAACTCAAGATTACAGGAAGACTCCTATTAGTTCATTCATTGGATAATTCCTTTTTACTTTTTGATCCACAGTGCTGAGTTTCTAACAGCTTAAGACTATAAATACACAAATAATCACTGTTTTATAAATACATTGCATCTACATGAAAAGCTTCTCTTTTTTATTTTTACTTTTTCCCTAATATTTCTCCTTAAAGTTAGAGGATATTTAATACAGCCCATGTATATATAAAAGAAACGGTTTCAGCATTTTGGACTGCTTTTCATACTGATATTTCATGCTGATAAATGCAAACTCAACAGCAGTTCTGTTTTTTGTTTGTTTGTTTTTGTTTGTTTGTTTTAATCTTAAAACTAGTATAAAATTGATGCACAGTATCTAAACTGGATTTTAAATATATATACATATCAAAAGCACTTTTATACATTTTGCTAATGGACAAGCATTAAGAATGCAATATAGTGGTGTAAGTAGTTGTTTTACACATATGCTACTTCTTAGCTACTAAAAACAAAATCGCTGTACCTAACTAAGCGCAAAGGTGTTTTTTATTCTCCAGCCATGAAATTGAATGCCATTTTGTGGCCAGCAGAGTGGAGAAGACTCGTTCAGGCTCTCTATCCTTGCTTGTAGCCTGTAGGGTAGTCTGCAATGGAGACCCAGATGATCAGAGTGGTTCACCTGCAGCATCTTCCTTTAAGTACTGGATTCAGAGCCTCTGAAACTGGCATTCAGGTCCACCCCTGGGCATTTCTAGGTTGTATGTCACATTTTACCACTTACCTTTACAGATCTTTACCTACATAAACTTTATGGACTTTAAATGCAATGGACTTTAAATGCAAAACTCAGTCTGTCTGGTACCTATATCAAAGAATTTTATCTTCAGCTCTTAACTTTTAAGCCATCTCAGAATTCCTGAGTCTGACTGATTATTTGATTGGACTCATTATTCATCACACAGAAACTCCCAGGTAGCTTCTACCACTGGGAAAAATATACCACATTTGTAAGTAATGTGTACGTACTTTCTTTCCAGCCGATCAGCTCTGATAGCAGGCAGCACATCAGGATTTAAAAGATTGTGTCCAGCTTTTACATTGCGGTGTATTAGCAAAATTTGAGTGCGCCTTCCACGCTTTAAAAACTGACTGTAATCAAAACCTAATTAGTATTCTATTTTACTAGTGGGAAAACTGAGAGAAATGCACACAGACATACATGGTGTTAGATATTAAGCCAAAAGATGTCTCCAGAAACCAGCCATTCATCTTTTGCTTTCTTTTTTTTTTTTTTCTTCTATCATCAGCATCTTGTCTCTTGAAATATAGACATCACTAAATCAAAAACACTTACTTTTTCACATCATTATAGAATTGCTCAGATTAAGTAAGAGCTCTGTACAGATTTTCAAATCTCAGCTATGTTTTCAAACCACCAGGGAGGGCTAGTTCTTCCTGCTCAGACAATTATCAAATTGTTGCCAATGTGAGGGTTCCTAGTATCAATCTCATTATTATTAAGTAGTCTAAATCACCTATGGATTTCATTAACATCATTTTGAAAAGAGGTCTTAGAAGTTGGCACCTGCAATTTACTTAAAGTTGATCATTATGTGCAACCTTATTTAAAGATTAAGGCTGTTTTAGTTTATTTCTGATATAAAAGAAACAGAAATCTAAAGCCTTAGAAATCTGGATTTTTTTTTTTATTTTTTTTTTTGAAGAGGGAAGGAAGGAGCAGGCGAGTGTTTTTTGCCTTTTTTTTCTGTTTGTTTGTTATTATTTGTTTCCTTACTTACTTTGGAAGCAACAGGAGCATTGCTGACAGTCTTTTATTTTCTGTGTGGAACTCCAGTGGTTATTAGGTGTTCCATATTGTGAAAGAAAGCTAGGTCAAATCACTAAAGATGATGTCCTTATTTAAAAGTTAATTACTCACTGAAAATGCATGAACGTTTAGGGGAAAAAAAAAAAAAAAAAAAAAAAAGCAGCAGTTTTAACAAGAGTTTCTTTTTGCAGCCTCTCAGTTTTCATTCTCTTCATCTTGTGAATATATCAATTCATTAAATTTTTGGCCGTAGCAATAGCCTTAAATAGGTAAAAAACAGTATTTTTTTTCCTGGATAACAAGTATAAAAGAGAGACTGGTAGGCCTTGTTTTCAACTTGCAATAAATATGTAAGAACAATCTTCAACGTCCATCTCTCATTCATTTTAACTAGATCACTGGAAAATACTTTATAGTTGGTTTGATATTCTTAAATTAAAACATTTTTACTAGTAATATAGAAATAACTGCTATCATTTCCTTCCTCTGAGAAAATGAGGCACAAACTTTTATATTTTAATTCCATTTGAGAAAATAAAATGGTATTTTTCACCCAAAACCCTGTAACTATGCATCCTATATTTTTCTGCTCTGTACAGCATTACGCTGTATCTTGGATATGAACTTAATAGGAGATGGTGTAGGAAAGTAGCAACTTCAAGTAGTGACAGAGAATTAGCAGACAAATATGTCAGAACAGAACATACAAAACGAAAGGAACAACACTTCACAGGCTCAGAACATGATTGCTCCAGATAACTATGTACTCTTAGATATTTTCATTCCTGTCTCTCATTAATTCCTCTTCCCACTGAAATGGTATCAAGTGTGATTTCTTTCTAAAATAGGAGATAAAATCATCCAGCTTTTTAGGCACAAATCTGCTGCATTTCAGCTGTGCAAATCAGGAAGTCATAAAAACACAGAAATGATCCCTATCAACATTTTCAATTGTTGCCATTTATCATCATATTTAAACACCACTTTACATTTCTTCACTTGTAGAAAGGAAAGGCACATTTTCTACACATCTCACAGCAAATGATGCAATGCAGCTTTGCATCAGGCTCTTCTACCTGAAGGACTGCAAAGTATCAGTTCAGTTTCTGCATCCTTGTTATGTCCAGGACATCCTCACCACCAGTGAGCAAGTGCCTGAAACGGTTTTGAAGGAAATGCAAAATCTACAACTGCCTCGTGAAACAAGGCATTCGTCTGTTTCAGAAATGCAGTCACCTAAAATGTGAAATGTCATTGTATAGACACAAACATTTCATTAACAAACCATTTATATATCTTTTTATTTAGACACAACCATACAACTCTACATAACACCTCATAAATGTAGGTCTTGTAATACAAACATCTATAAATATAGAATGCACACACCGCATGTATGTATATTAATATTTGTAATAGAAATCATATCTTTATATCTTCCAAAAGCACCCTTTGTAGCTTTCCTGCCTTTTAAATTCAGCTATTCTTGAATCCAGTTTGTCTTTGAAATATGTCAGGATAATGCATTATTGAAGTACTGTACTGCTTCCTTTTCGAGCCTGTACATAAAATCAGTCACGTTCAACAAATTTCCATTTTCCTTAGTTCTTTTTCATAATTATTCCTCACTTCTATCCCAGTGCTGTCCTCAAGAGCTCCCTGGTTTCACCACTAAAATTAACTGCACACTACAGGTTATGCCTCCAAGGGACTTGCCATCAAGAGAAACCCAAGGTAAAGAATGAAAGCAAAATAAAATTCTTCACTTTTTCTGAAATAGATATGACTAATACATGAACCAGGTTGCAAAATTAACAACTGGACAGAGGAAATAGATTTGAAAAAAAAAAAAAAGTTTCTTATTTCACAGATGTGTCAGAAACATTTAGTTTATTTCTTAACTTATGCATTCTGAAAGCTATTTATGAGAACATATCAGGGATTTAAAACCTGTCTTAAACTTCTGGTTGAAATCAGCATCATTTTGTTCAAGAAAGAGTTAAGTCTAACAAGCAGAAAAAAAGAAATTAACTAAAGTAAGGCCCTTGTGATACAATGACACTTGCTCTATGCTCTTACAGAGAAAAACACGATGATAAAACACCACAAAGAGGAGTGTTATGAATTTTATTAATGACTAGAAGACAGTGTGCAAAACATCAAAGGTCTGTGGAAAAGATTAATGACCCCGTGTGAGACTGTTTAATTACCTCCAGCTAATTAGATTCTTGACCAAATTTTTAATATCTGCATTCCTTCTAAAGCCTAATTGAGATTCCACATTATTTATCAATCTTTCAAAAAGCCCTTAGTGTGCTGCTTTTTTTAGTTTTTTTTTTCCCTTTGCACTTTGACTCCATTTATGGTCAATTATTAAATAAATAGCAAAGTAACTGTTCTCTACAAACTGTATATGTGGAACACTTTATGCCTGTTTATTTTGACTAGGAGACTATCATTGGCATCTTTTATACATAATGAAGCACTCCAACTAATAAACTGACTTACTTCACTGTAAACAGTGTTGATAATATTTTTGTTATCTGGGCAGTGCTCAGGAACTCCTCATGTGGTTTCTGTAAATTAGCCTTTGCTATTGTCAGTTAATCCTTATTTCAGTTTACCTTGGTCCTGTCCCAGGGCCTGAGTGGTGCGTTATCATGCAAACTGGAGAAGACAGCCCTCGCCATGTGATTATCTTCCCCCGTTCATTTAGAAGTACTTTAGTACTATAAACCCCTGTTATTAAATGACTTGCCTTTCTATTAGGAGATTGATGTCAGAAGGCAAGGAACACATGCAATAACTACTCCTTTTTTACACATCAGATCTCCAACTAGCCCCTGTTACGACACTGGCACAAAAAGAGAAACCGATGTACAGAACACGTCCAAGTCCTGAACTTCTGTTACAGTTTTCCACAGCTGTTTTACTATTTCAGTTTGCAGTATAGAAAATGGAGACAGATCAGGCATTGCAAGGTATGTGATGGTGAACACATTTTTGTGTAAAGTTTGACAAACAAGGTGCTTCCCAGTTCAGAGGAGGTAGGGGACCCATAATCGCTTTCTTTGTTTTAGCTATAAAACAGTGTGTATGTTTTAAAATCTCGTTGTCATTTTTAATATAAACAAGAAAAATCAAATGTGCACATGTAGTTATCTATTTATAATGCACGTATATAAAACAAAACACTTTGAGAAATACTCTTTGTAATTTCATATAGATTTTTTTTTAAATTATCCACTAGAGCTTAGCCCACAAAACCATACCATATATACAGGAATATATGGGAGAGCAAAAAGATAGTTCTCTATTAAATTTTAATAGGAACCATCTCATTTGTATCAAACACTATTAGCTGCACCTTTATTAAAAATATGCAGGATTTTTCTCTGTGAGGTAGACATGGGTGTCTGTATGTACAGATAGACGTTGAAAAAAATCTACTATATGGTAATATATGTAACCATGAGAAATATGGAGGGGACAGGCCTTTCAGCGAGGGATTACTTTTTTTCATGATTACATTTGCAACGAGCCTTGTCCAATGGGATAAGGACTTGCATGCAGTATCAGAAAACACATCCTTTAATAATGCAAAAACTGTACAGCAAAATAGCAAACAATGTGAATCAATACAAAAGTAAAATGAACCTGGCATTAAGGAGACACACAATACTTTATGCTTAATTTCTTGAGAGTGATGAGTAATTTTGGTTACTTACTAAATCACTCAGAGAAATAGCACAGCTATGAATTTATCTGAGGTGCTGTAGTCAGAGCTATTTGACATTTCTGATGCAATAAAAGGTATAAGATACCTAAAATCTATGTATCCAGATATTTATTCTGTCTTTCAGTTGGTGTGGAGTGTTTCAAAACCATTAATGATTTTATCCTTATGGCTTTGGATAATAAGAATACATTTTGTATTGTATCCGAGTAGTGTCATGTTTTTAGGATTTTAGGTGCTACATAAACAATGAGAAAATACAGGCCCTGTTTAACAGAGCACATACATTTTACAAACTGGGGGTTACTCGCAATTATTTCCCCAGGGAATGGAGCTGACATTTCCTGTCTCACCCGCCAAACTCCCCGTGTTTCCACTGCCTACCCCTCAGGTTCAGCCGGGTCACTGGTTTCTCTCTCACTGCACCACCTGTCTGAGACTTGCTGTGTGCCTTGTACATCTGATCGACGACGCCAGCCCCAGCTGCCTGACAGGTGACTGATGCTCCTTGGTTTCTGGAGGGCCATAGTGGATATTGCTACTTCGATAACTGATCTAGATGGACAAGTTGGTAAGGGGATGAATTCAGAGGGCAATTCAGGCCTGCTTTAAATACATGCAGCATGGACATGATACAGATCAAGCATTTCAGTCTGGGGTTAGAAACCTCCAACAACTGAAGAAAAATGCTCCTTTACCACCACGGGCATCCTCTGCCCCAGAGACTTCCCTACACAAGCACAGGGTCCCCCACAGAATGTCACACGCCAGGCTCGGACAAGCTGAGCAATTTTACATTTACTACATTTACTAATACTTCATTTATTTCCATTTATACAGAAGTTGATGGTGATACAAAAAAAAAAAAAAAAAAAAAAAAAGTATGTAAACTTAAAAAAAAAAAAAAAAAAGCAAAACTTTGGCAATTGTGGCCCAGCAAGAAAAACTCCTGTCTTTGGACAGTGGCATAGCACCCAGAAAATATTGTGCTAGGCTGATGGGAGGGCACGAGGCAGCAGAAGCATTTACTTACTTTAGAAGATAATTTATTAGCTCAGTCTCGCCCTGTGGCCTTTGAGAAACTCAATAACGAGCATGTCTCCTTGTGCATCACCCTGCTCCTTCACCTAGGAAAGCCGGGCCGGGGCTGGCAGATACCTTGGCTGCACTGATCAATAGCCTGCTTCCCCTGCGGGAGGGACTGACAGCCCACGGGGGGACACACAGATGAGAGCAGAATTTCTGCATATTTAGTGATATTTTTTTCTGAAGATGCTTCTCTGAGAACCTAAATTCCTTCTCATATTGTATCTTTAAAATAAGAGAATAATTGAAGCCAAATAAATATACTGAAAGAATATTATGGCAAATTTTGCTGTTTGAATTTTTGCTTTGTTGCATTTTTAAGTAATATGCTTTGTCCCAATCAGCTATAGTGGTGTTTGCTTTCACACTGCTGTGTTCTGGTATACCTGGAGCTCTTTCATAATTTTACGTCTTTTTGCACTGAGCCTGCCCAAAACCAAGATCACTTCTAACTTAAAGTGCTCCTAAAAATTTGAAGTGCTCTATTAATTTTAAATTGCTCTACATCATGTCTGCTTAGAATCCCAACTGCTTTTTCACACACAAAAAATTAAACTATAAAACACACATCTGCAACATAACAGCTATCCAGCTTTTTTTTCAAACGTTAAATTTGTCTCCTTTTTCTTTATCTTTTAAAGAAAAAAAGTGCTCTCAGAGAAAAATAATGGAACAACTCATCACACATTTTACTGCAAGCTTCTCTCTATTGAAAACCTTTTAGGTATGTCACAGAACCAAATATATTTTATGTGTACCAATTGGTAGCACGTAGCCCAACCCATTAACCTACTGACCTCAATAAATTATCATTTCCTAGCCAGAGCAGCATTGCTGGAAGATTGACATGTCACCAAACACACACTGCAGGTTAACAATACTCCCCAGGATTTTTACAAGAAAACTTCTGATCTGAGACTTCTGTCTTGCTGGCAGCTCCTTCAAAAAATATATATATTTTTTTTTTTTAAGAGCTTGGGTGTTTTTAGAAAACTGACTTGATCCACAGTGACAAGAAAAATGGCATCACTTCCAGCTGAGCCCCCGTCACATTATCTGCAGAACAAAGCCACTGCACAGGGCTAGCACAGGCTCCCACCCCACGGGGGACCTTTGCCAAGGTGAACTCTCACTGCAGTCCTGCACGCTCATCTCCCACTGGGAGGTCACCCAGAGCTTTCTCCCTGCTTCCCCTTGCTCACATTGGTATTTCCACAGAGCAATACTCTCACCTGACCCTTTGAGGTCTGTGCAACCTGGTTCTGCCTCGCAATTGCTGGCTATGTGCTCCCACCTCCGTCTCCTCTTTGATGTTTTTAAATGGATGTTGTTAAAAGGAACTTGTTGAGTGAAAGACAAAAAACTCTATTTACTGGAAAGATAGGACCAGCTCAATATAGCAGTGTACTTTGGCAGCCAGGCTGATTTTGGGGAAAGATTTTTGAACCGAAGGCCTATCATTTCCTCCACTTGCATAGTAACTCAAGCACTAACAAGTGGACTCACTGTCAAAGTCATTTTACTTGTGTTACTGTATCTGAAGTACATTAGATTAATCTATCAAAGGGTCAATGCTCCTTTAGTTGGTGACTATAAATATACACAAATAAAGAAAAGCATGCTCTGAATACCCCATGTATCAAGCACTTCCAGATCCATATATTTTTGCTACTTTGCCATGCAGATATAAAACCATCTGAGTGATGAGATGGAGCAATAACCTTTCCCGGCTACCATGTTTTATCACGGGATATAGCTTGGAAGGTGCTGGTTATTTACACTCAGTCTATCACAATAAGCTGCTTTTGGGATATTTTCCAAGGAACAAATTCAAGCAAAGTTTTTTGGCTTTAAATTAGAGCTTGATCTCTACATACACTCTGCCCTTCAGAGCATCTTTCTGTTACCAGCTCCTGCTGAGTCTAGAGGGGCAGGTCACCTGTCAAACATTACATGGCACATTCCCAAGGAACAACGGAGTCACTCCTCTGCCTTGACCAAATTCCAGTTTCTTTTCTGATCTGGTTGGATCTCATTCTTCCCTTTCCCATTTTACACGGGTTGGAGCTAAAGCCATCCTGATCTCATTTGCATGCTTCTCTGCAGAGAGCAGCATCAGTTTGTCACTGATGCAAACAAGGCTTGTACCTTGAATAAGGACATGAAATATTTTGTACTTCCTGGAATACTTTCTACCCATTTGAATAATTTACTTGTAACATCACAATGTAAAGCGTATTATTGAGCCTTGAATACTATGATACTTTGGTCCATCTAAATTCACTGTGGTGTTTCTTCTCCTGAAGATGTTTGCAACACACGTTTGCTGTGTGCAAGCACTGTCAAGTGAAACTTTCTTCAGACTCTAGCCAGACATACTAATCTAACAGTAGTTACATGTTTGTTTGCTCTACTTAAAAGGCAATTTCTATGGCAAAGGCATTTGTTTTTTGTCTCAAATGAGATTAGAGATTCATTATCTATTGGATCAAAACTTCCAACCAAGGTAGAGGCAGCAGCTTTATTTACATGAGAAAACATAGTATACATTAGGCCAGAAAAACTGCAACAAGTCAATAGCAACAAAACAAGAGGGTGATAGTGGCTTTCCAAAGTGGAATTCCATCTATCACAGCCACCCGTGGTGAAGCTGCCTCCAGGAGTGACTATCAGCCTTCTGCAACACACGCAAATGCTCCTACCCGTAAGGGTGATGTGAAACATTCAGCTATAGTTCATATATATAATATTGCATATTTCTTCTACCTTACCTCTTATGTAAATTATGAGAAAAATATGTTTTTGGAAATTTATGGGAAAGTAGGCCTTGGGATTGCTTCCTCAGCAGAATCAACGTGATGTTCCCATGAAGTCACCTTTGCTGTGATGCTTCCATCACTGCTGCAATTTCACTGCTCTGCAGCTCTTTATCAGGAAGGCTTGAACCTAAATTTCCCTTTTCCCAGCCACAAGATATTTAAATCAAAATGGCTGTGACTGTCACCTCAAATCTCTATGTCTTCTGCTAACTTAGCCTCAGTCAGAGCCTGCATGGTGAAAGTTTCCTGTAACTGCCATCAGTTCAGTAAAATATTTGCTAAATGCAAAAAATGTGGTTGCACTGGGTTTTGTTAAGTTTCTTAATAAAGGGCAGTGCATGTTCAGCCTTCATAGTAACTCAGATGTGACACAAATAATGCAGCAAATAATTACAATGACCTTTTGCTCACCTCAAATTTAAACAAAGGTTAAGCTGCCCTTTAGAAAAGTAAATATTTTCTGTAGTCTAATAAGTGTAGACACCTTTAGAAACAAGGACGTATTGCCAAACTAAACTAAAATGAAAATTGTTACAATAGAATAATTTCAAAACAGAAAAGATGCAAATCTCTGCACCCAGCCAGACATCCTGGCATCGCAGGCAGTCCCTTACCTTGCAAAACTCCCAGGCTGATCTCCATATGGTTTCCAAGAACTGTTGCTTGAAATTTCTGTCCAGCCACAGCAGATAGGAGAGAGAAATATTAAAAATAAGAAAGTGCATAATCTCCTTGCCCCCTTAAATCTAGTAAACAATTTATATTTGATTTCATACAACAGAATGAATCCACGGACCTTTAAGTAATTAAGAAACAGACACTGAGGCTTAAAAAATAAACTTAAGGGAAAATCTCACATAGTGGCCAGGAAATGGCTCATAGGTTTTATTTAGTTCTCATAGTCCAAGGTTTAGCTGTTAGCTAGATAAGAGCCAGGTGTGTTTTACACATCTAATTTGTTTAGTCTGAAGCTAATTCAAACAGCGCTCTTTAACTACAAGTCTGCAAGTGACATTTCAAATCTAAATCCAGGATCAATTCATGTCACATATATTGAGGGTCTCTCACTGGGAAGGAGCACTTCTGGGGAAGGACATTCTCACTTTTTTTCTGGTGTGCTTGTTGTGGTTTTGTTGTTGTTGTTTTGGTGTTTTGTGGTTTGGTTGGTTTGTTTTTTGTGGATTTTTATGTAAGTTATACTAACACTACTTACAATAAAATTGGAAAAAGTTCACTATTACCTAGCACAGTTGATGGGGCTTTAGTGACCTACAGGACTACAGGAAGGGGCTCTCTGCTTTTCTCCTTTGGCCCAGGCAGCCTAGGAGTTCCTGCTGGAGAGGCAGCTCTGGTGCTGGGCACTGGGGCTCTGCACCCTGCAGAAGTGAGAAGGATTTGGGCTCCTCCACACCTGCACAGGGATGAGGCTCCACGGCTACCCGCCTGCAGCCAGATGGCAAGGGTAGAAGTGGTAGGTAGAAGCTATATAAAGCTTCTTTATAGAAGCTATATAAAGATGCATACACATTAAAATGATTTTTAACATTTTGACCTTCAGCCACATCTGACAATAAGGGAATTGCAAAATATTTGGTGGGCAACCACTTTATGCATGGAAAAAAATGAGGTATGTTATAGCAATAATATTCATAATGCTCTTTCTGTCTCAGACAGGACAAATCATAACACAACAGATGTAATATCCATCATTATAGTGTTGACTAACCTGACTTTCAGATTCAGATCAAGATTTTGAAACTCTCTATATAAGTATAAATAGCATTCAACTTTAACTGTACTTTCATTTTGGCATGTATTAATCATATGCTTCTCTGTTTGATCTAGTAAAAAAGATAGTCAATGAATTTACACCCTGTTACTTATTCATGAACAAGTTGTGCCCCTGAATTTTAACATGCTATGCCTTAAACTATTAGCTGTATATCTGCTTTATGTGATGTTCCTACATAAGCTGGCAGTCTATCAATTTAGTGTCCATACATTTCTTTGAAAGCTATATTATAATTAGAGCTTAGGTTAATACTATTCACTAACCATAAAACAGACATAAAATAATTATAACTCATTTAGTGAAATTAGAAAAAGAGCAATTATTAGACTCCCATTGTGAGGCTTTGCTGTGAGGGACAGATAATCTATCTGCAAGATGTACTTTAAGAACACCATTTTGAAAGAAATAAACTAGATAAATTACTGTTTTGTTTTGGTTTAAGAAAACTTAGACTAATAAATACAAGTTCAACAAACATAAAGGATGTGTGCAAGGGAAGTGAAAGTTCTACTGCAAGAGGAGAGATTAAAATATTTATGTGATGCTTTCCTGACATTACCTCTCAGGATGTTGTGAAGCTCGATTTGTTAATATTTGCAAGGCATTAAGTACTACAGCGATGCAAACGCAGGCCTATAAACCTGCAACGAAACATGCAGATGTGCACGCTTCTGTCAGGAGAGAGTGGATTCGCTGATGATCAGCACACTTGGCTACAGGATTTCTGATAGCTTTAATGAAGTATTTATATACCAGGAAACCTGCCTTTGAAATCGCCTGTTCCTCATTCTCCGAGCTCCTGGTATGCTGAGATATACGGTTATATGGGAAGAGATGACTTTTTACCAGGAACACAGCTTCCTGGCAGAAATACAGCTTAGGACTTTATCAAACTGCCCATTTTTTCCTTCTTTGGTAGGAAACTAGTACAGCAATCTCCCTGAAGAGTCACCTTTGAAAGTGATGTCTCTTCCTGATGGACTCTTGACCCACTACTGTCCAGCTGCTGTTCACGTGGATGCAAATCCAGCAGCATCAATATTACCAAACCTCAGAAGGATAAAAACCTTCCTGAGTTGAGAGATTTTTTTTTTCCAAAATACAGGATTTTCACCCCTCTGAACTATTAATCTGTTGTTTTGTTTGTTTTAGTGATTTTTATTTATTTTAGTGATTTTTATTTATTTATTTATTGGGGGTTGTCTTTGGCCTTATTGATCTTTCTATTTTTGGCCACTTTTATTAATAGAAATTCACGTATTGGCCTATCTATACCACTCGTAAGGAAGTTTGACTCTGCTTGCCTCAGAAGAGCTCTGTGAAAGCCAAATTTGTCTGCAGGAGTTCCCGTGAGAGGAAAGGAAGGATCTCAGAGGAAAGGCTCCACACGGTGCCCAGAGCCCCAGCCCAAGCACCAGTCAGAGGGGAGTGAATGGGAGCAAAAGACGACCCCTAAAACATGTTGTTATAGCTCAGCCTCACAAAGCATAACTCAGAAAGACCGCTATTGCTGACTGCTAATATAAAAAACATAGTGAATTAAACACTATAAATAGCTCTAAAATGGCGATAATTTATTCAAAGCAGTACTGCATTGATATTTTTCATTGCTTTTAGGGTCAGCACATTTAAGATGCATACTTTCAGTCTTATCTTTATAATCAAGAGAGACAAAAAGAAGTCTGCTACCAGACTGATTTCAAAAGCTAAAGGTAAAAACATCAAAAGTTACACACTATGGCAAAAATTTATCAATCTCTATTAAATTCTTTATTTCTTTAGAATGATTTCTCTGGAATGTTTTTGAACTTTCAAAGAATCCTATGAATTTCTCCTTGCTTAATTTATATTAATGCTAGTAGTGAATCACAATTCAAATCAAGCCACTTTTCGTTAACAAAATAAATAAATAAAAGTACATGTAAAGAACTTTTTTAAATAAATATCTGACCTGTTAAGACTTTTCTATGTTCATGTAAAACTTTATTTATTCATTTACATTACGACATAATTTCTTATTAAATGAACCCTTGAACGTCTGGTGAGGGAAATTCATCTCTACCAGCACTGGTAACAGTGGAACAGGTTATGTTATACCTCCTGTTTAAACAGCATAAATGTACTGTTGTGACTGTTGAAATGGGGGAATGACCTGACTTCATCACTAATTTTACTTTCCAAGTGACTGGTAAATTCTCCTATGCTTCCTGTTGAACAAAAACAAAAGACAAGTTCAGAGAGCTGGTACGTCTGACAGTTGTGAAAGACAGCAAAAAGATGAATGACATTCTCCGGAGAGTATTTTTCTGTCACTTAAGCAGTTTACATATTTCTCTATTTTTACTGTATTTTCCTTCTCTTGATCACCAGGGATCGCATGTGAGTTTAGGGTCATTAGGGCTATGTCTAGTGCCAGACAGATACTGCTGCAGTCAGATTTTTATGATGACAGCATGAAATTTTTGGAATGCACTGGTGAGTTGTGTGACTATTGTTAGACTGTCATTAAAGAAATAAAAATAAAAATTCTCTTTTCTTTACTGCTGGCAAGCCCATTATTTTACATTTTGTGAAATACTGCAGTATTAGAAGACTTGACAAAAGTAGCAAGAAACTTAATAATAAGATATTCCAAAATATCTTACAACAGATTTTTTTTTTCCATTTCCATCAGGAGAGAGTGAGAGAAGAGAAGAGATTATTTCAGAGTTAAGAAACAAGGAACAATACTTGGGAAAAAGAAAATTTAAAAAAAGGAAATTAAGAATTTGACTTCCTTTTTTTTCTTTCTTTCTGCTTTCCTCTCCTTTCTTTTTAGTCTTCCAATCTGTTCTCCCCATCCTTGGGGAGCACTGCTTGAACCTGCATTTGTGAATTATAAGCTCTCTGTACTGTACATAGCAGTTGTTAAGGATCAACTGATTAACCATTTTATAGAAGATTTAGGGGACTCATTCCAATTTTTACAACTCCATGTGGTTTTTAAATATTGTAATGTTTTCAACCAATATGTTTTCTGCCTCCCAGCTGTAAAACAATACCTATTGGCTTGGGGGGAGGGAATTTATTTTTATATAATTTTGTTATAATACAACTTTTTCGTGGTACTAACAGCATCTTCTGGGAAAGAATTAAAAAAGCAGCAAGATGAAATATCACGTTCTTCATTTTTTGCTCACTCACTTAGGTCAGCGTATTACAATATCGAAAACATAACAACCCGGAATGGGACAGATTATGGGATTTATGAATTTGCCTGGTTTTGTTGGCTTGGTGAGACCTTTACCATTTTGTTACATTCTTTCTTGTATTCAATGTCCCGTTTATTTTTTAATGGAAGAATAAAGGGTTCACATAAAGTATCTCAAACACAAAGGACGTGTCTGTCTGGGCTTTTATAATTGAATTATTGTACACGTGGTATTGTATCAAAACACTAGGGCCAAAGTCGTTCCCTTTGTAGTTTTTAGCAACAGTATTTTGTTTTCAAATGACTTTGGATGGTTTTACCAAATTATAGAGCAAAAGCTGATGACTGACGTAAACAAACCAATAAGTAATTTTAGTACTGGTGTAATGATTTGAAGAGATGTTCTGAGTACTTTATAATGGTCCTTGGTAGAAATCCTTTCCTTCATGAAATTTGGAAATATTTTCTTCTGCTTTTTATGGCTCCAAAATTGCAATGGGTGATTTTTAGTAGCTTTTCTACAGGTTGAAAAATACCCTGAATTTATGGAAATATTTTTTTTTTATTATTATTATTTTCTGTGTAATCACCACAGAAGTGTATTTAAAATGACCAGAAGTTTGGCTTAACCTTATCAAAAGGTGAGAACCCAAGATTGGAGCCAGCTCTGAGAGGACACAAGTGTGCAAT